CAAAACAGAGACCAAATCTTTAGGCTCTCCTGAAAAGTGATCCTGCTGCCCCAGCACTTCTCCCTAGCCCAGGAGTCGGCAACCTTAAACAGTCAAACAGCTTTTTGGCCTACCGGGGGTCAAAAAGCTCAATAAACTGCGTGCCGGCGGGTGTTGCACATTGGCGGTTGTGATGCATATTTTGAGCGACAAGGAGCCACAGCAGAGGGATGAAAGAGCCACATGCAGCTCCGGAGCTGCAGGTTGCTGACCCCTGCCCTAGTCGAAAGGCAGTGCTGGCACCTCTTATCAAAGGGGAAGTCCTTCTGGGCAAGGCTGCGAAAGAGCCCCAGCCTGGCTTTCCCCATAAGGTACCCAGACCCTTTACAGCAGTGGCCACTCCAGCTTCTGTAGCTCCATGTGGTTGTTGTTTAATCTTTGAAAACCAGGGTGGGAGGATGCATGTGTGTGTGCCGGCAGGTATATAGCCCAGTCCGGGGTTTGTATGTGATGCTTTTCTGTGTTGCTCAGAGAATATTTTATCTTACATTCATTATTTTCATTATCATTCCTATTATCATGATCATTGTTGTTATGCCTTATGTGTGTATGCTTTGGGGGAGTGAAGGAGGAACTGTCTATGTGTAGGAGTGAGGGGCAGGCTGTATGTTCTTGCAAACAGTTGTGCTGGCCTCCCCAGAGATCTATAAGTCATTGTCATTGTTATTATCATCATCATAATCGTATACCTTCTCCTGAGCTATCCAGACCCTACTTCTTAATATGAAATGTTGTACTGTCCTGCTTCTGAGGAGGCCTACTCTGAATGTTTGTGATGGATATACAGAGTCATTTTTGGATGTGTTTAGAACTTGTGCCTATGTCCCAAAGGCTGCTTTTCTGTTTGACTCTGAGAATATAACATCATATTTAATAATTACCTTTATCATTATTATATTCTCCCGGCATTCAACTTCTTAGAGTTAGTTGATTCTCTTTGGAATTGAAGTTGTTGCTAGACCAGAAAAATGTGCATCTAAATAAGTACCTGTGTGTGGTTGTGTGATTTTCCCACCTTCCTTTGCATGTTTTGTGCTTCAGTTTTCTCTTTCTATAGTGCAGACAGGATAACTGGAGGGATCCAAAGCCTACTCCACCTCTCACGATCCCTTGGCTCCATTTCTGCTGACCTGCCCCTTGCCCAGCTGCCCATGCAGACTGGTCACCAGACTTTCCTGGAAATGTCCATCCCTAATGGACATCCACAAAGGTTCAGATAACTGGGAGACTTGATGCAGAAAGTTTCATATGTTCCTAAGAAGAAAAAATAATAAATGTCCTACATTGCAGTGCATTTTTTTTCCACTATAGAGTGAATCTACATATTAGAAAAATGACACGTGCAAAATAATGCTACAACAGAGAGCCTTTTTTCTTCATTTAGTTAAATTCTCAATGTGTTCTGTGCCTATATTGGCAGAGTAATGTTAATATTACCATACTGTACAAAATAATTTATGAAGCCTTCATTTTGTTTATCATAAAGATGCTATATTTTAAGAAACTTATAATTAAGCCTGTCTGATTAGTGCCATATGGAGTGTATTTTTTGTAATGGACACCAGGGCTATGAGCATGAGACAGTCCTCCAAGAATGCTCCCTATTTATATACGATTTTTAGAAAGCCTTAAATAAGTGCCTGTGTTTAGGGAACTGTGGTAAACTAGAAGACTGGCAAGATTCCACCGCAAGACAGTGTTTTCTACATGACCCCACCCACTGATATGATAGAGACCTTACTCTGAGACATGGAACAGATGATGCATCCCATTTTTTGCCATGTATGGCAGCATCTACCAAATGCTTTTAGAAGGCACTATTTGGGGGAAAACCAAACTTCATTTTGATTTAGTTTTCTGGGAGATGGGTACAAACTCTTTACCTGCAGATAGTAAAGACATATATATCATTTGCTTCCCCATCACACAAACATTTATATTATATCATATTTTTATTTTAGTGTATGTTTATTATGATTTTATCCTGTTCTATTTTATTATAATGTTATAAATTGTCTTCATTTTATTTAATGATATTTTATTGGTATTCCTTACTGTAATGGTCACTGAGAGAGTGTGATGCTAGTGGGTGGCTCTTAAACAAAATAAATAAATAAATAAATATTACAATTAAATCATTATAAGCTATCATAAAAGAAAATTAGAGTAGAATACTTCAGTATGAAACTTAGATTTAGTCCTGTTCTTTGCTAAGAGTGCACACGAGTCCTAAAACAAATCCATTGTGAACTCTTTCTAAACCAGTACCCTTACATATTTTAAATAAAACTGCGCTGTACTAAGTTGGAGCTGTTCAGTGGAGCATGGCAGACATATTAGAATGTCACTGTCATCGTTTGGAGTAGAGTTCATAAGCAGCTCATGAATTCTCTGCAGCCTCTCATGTTAAACAGGCCAGGCCTTCCTTGCCTTGATGTAATTTGGCATCTCTGCTGATTTCTCTGGGATTTTTTACATTTTGTTTCACAGGTGTCCATTCATGATTTATCTTTCATCCCTGAATTGATTACCCTACCAATAAGGTGCCTGCAGAGAAACTGATAAATGTTTCCTGTATACCACACAGGAATAGATGAGTAATAAAACTGAATGGTCAGCTCTTAGTATAAATGTAAGGGTGTCCAGAATGCCTTAGGTTGCATTATTGAAGGCTGTTTTTAAACCCCTATAATTTAAACAGAATTGTCTTGCTTTCTCTTGAGAACTCTTGAAGCCGCGTTGCTCAAACTGTGCTAACAATCATTTATCAGCAGTCAGTCACATGGTATGCTATTGCTATTCAGGGCCATTTCAAATGTTAATGCTGTCATAGTAGAAGATATTTGTTTTAAAGGTTAAAAACATTGACGCACTACTGGGCAGCTGCAGTGTTAGCGCATGAGTCTGTCTAAAGGCATTCAGATGTCTCCATGCCAGTGCCAGTTGCTTCCAGTAGCAAGTGAAGAACTTGACCTCCAGGAGACTGTCGCATGGCCATCACCACTTAGAGACAACCTGGTGTCCTGCAGAGGAAGCGGATTTTAACTCACATCAGCCCCAGCCAACATAGATAATGGTCTGTGAGAGCTGTGCTGGAGGGTGCCCAGTTGCCTACCTCTGACTTATACAAAGGCTTTGATGGAACTAGATTGATGGGCTCCAAAGATTTTGACAGAAGCCCCAGGCACCAGTATGGTTTAGCTCTGATGTGAAGATTCTTCAGAACATTTTGTTGATCCGTACTGTAGATATGCAGATATTATGGGCAAATGCACTGTTGATAGGTTTCCCAAAAGGAGATGTAAGTTTTGAAATTGGTTCACCTTTAGCAGAAGCCTTTGGGTTTTATGTGCTATTTCATCACTTTGGAGGTAGGTGAAGTTTGCTCCTAGCACCAAGAAGAGCCTGTCATATCATCCATATTAGAAGTCTACTTGGTTACCCAAGGCCCTGAGGGGATTATCCAGGCAGTCCCTTTCCTTTACAGGGCTTTTTATTGTATGTTTTAAATGTATTTTAATACCTTTTAATATTTCTTTTTAAGTTATTTGTTTTGTTGTGCTGTGCTGTGCTGTGTTGTGTTTATGCACTGCTGTACACTGCCCAGAAAGCTTCAGCTGTGGAGTGGTTATTGCGCAAGACCCTTGTGAAAACAGGAAGACAGGATATTTTTTGTTTTGGGAATCCTCTAAGGGGAACTCTGTCATGAGAGGTTGGTTTTCAGGCCACTTGGGCATCACAGACTTGAATCCCAGATCTATTTAGATTAAGCAAAGCCATGGTTATCCAAGAGGCTCCGATTTCTTACTCAGGTATATTGTACTTGCACTGGGACAGAGAAGTGTTTCAGTTTTCCTTAGATCTGATTCTATCAGTTCATTGTCAGTGAAAAAGAAATGCATTCTGGCAGCCAGGCAAATGCACGGTAGAGCATTCTGGTTGGAGGAAAAAAGATTAGCGTTTGGATGAGCAAAGCCGTACCTGTGCATAACAAATGGAAAATGGACGGAATTGTATGTGTCAGACCATGTACAAGCTCAGAGAATTCTGCATGAGAACAGGGGCTAAAGGGATGGACTTGCTTCCCCATCCCTCAGTTGTGCCTCAACAGTGAAAAGGCTTTTCTTCCAACTCACAGGACAGATGGGGTAGGGAAGTATCCTGTGCATAAAATGCCAGCGTGCATTGTCAGCAGGAACATAGGAAGCTGTCTTATATGGAGGCAGAGCATTCGTCAGGCATGGGGGCTAGCCACGTGAGTTTTCAGGAAGGACTCTTTCTAGCTCTGTCTGAAAATTTCAAGAACTGAAGGTGGATCCTTCTGAGTGCAGGGAAGGAGCCACATCCCTTCCTGTTCAAATCATTATGTGGTTACAAAACTACTGTTTTTGGATTTTAAAAGGAACTTACGCTATCTATTCCTTGTCTTTTCAAGGCCAAGCACCCTAAGATGACTGGCAATATTAATAATGAAATACATCATAAAAAGACAAGAGCTAGAATCCCAAAACAGAACTCATGCATGTGCCAGCATTCTTCAAAACAACAATCATGTCACAGATACTCTGTCAGTTTCCTGTGAATATTGAAGGATGATGGGTGGAAAGGTAAAGCTTCCAATGAAAAGAAGTGGGCCGGTGTGGGAAACTATAACTGGCTCTTGTATAAGCAGAGGGATGTGTTTCAGCTAAATAAGTGGGATCTAGAATATAGTCTTCGTAGAGTTTACCTTTATTCATCAAATCACCAGCACTACAGTTTTTATCACTTCTATTTCATTCTCCCTAATATTTAAACCAAGGGTTTGGTTATAATGGATGCACCACTGAAGAACGACTGTTTACATTTAGTGAAGTTTGTGAAGTTGTGAGTGAACTTCGTTAATTTGCCTTATGTAAAAATCTTTATTTCTTAAAAAAAAAAAAAAAGTCCTACCTTTCCTTTCTTTTCTTTCCTAACAGAATTGCAGCCAAGGAGAACATGAATCTTATGACACCTCAAAGTTTAGGCATTGTTTTTGGGCCAACACTCCTTCGATGTGAAAATGAGACGGGGTCCATGGCACTCCACATGCTGTATCAAAACCAGCTAGTTGAGCTAATACTCAACGAATACACAAAGATCTTCAGCTCCGAGAAAGACTGACAGACAGGGAACATTACTGAATATATTCACATCTGCCTTGATATCTAATATTTTTACATTTCTGTAAACATCTTTCTGAAATATTTCTTTTTCCTTCCAGTGACAGATGCCTCATTTGGTGAAAACTTAGTGACGATTTTGTCTTTAAATTTCCAAACATTGGAATAAAAATATATTGTCAACATTTGCTGATGTGTACCCAGCATTAACCCTTTGCATGAGTCACTCTCTGCTACAGCACTCTGCAAGGCTCTGCCATTTTGCGTGCCTTTATTGTACAGCTGGGATTTGACAATATGGCCAAATCCAGATGAAATATTGCTTAGAGGCATATGCAGTGGCATTCCCAGACAAGCAGGGTGGGAGGTTAATGGATTTAAATGGTTTCTGGAACAATTAAATAGTCTATCACTTAAAATGCTTTTTAATGTATATACCTGTTCCTGTATGGAAAATGATGAAAACAAGTTGAATGATCTCTCCTAAAGGATGTCAAAGGACCACCTATTACTACTGATTCTCTCTCTCTCTCTTTCTCATGCACACAATAATTGCAAAGATTCAGTTAAAAAAAGAATTAAGAATGAAATAAGTCCCAAAACCTCATTCTCAAAGCTGCAGAAGCAGCAAAGCATCAGTTGTCCAACAACTCATGTTAAATGCAACATCCATTTTGAACCTCCATCACTTTATACAACTTTGCTCTTTCCCTGGCTATGTCATGTTTTGTAGAATTTTTTATTATGCTCCTGAAGATGCTTTATTGGTGAACTGCATTAAATTCATCTAGAAAGAACTTTTTTCTAAAAGCTTTTTCATATGCCCTTAGGATTACTTGGCTAGACTTGAATCAATTTATACATTTGATGGTTAGTTTCAGTTGTCATGGATAAACAAAAGGGTAACTGTCTAGAATATATCAAATATTGTTTTATTCTGAAATGTATGTTTCCAGCTATACACATCCTCTACCCTGTTTTGTCAAAGTATTTCACTGATAAAATGTAGACTTATGTTTGACAGCTTTTTAATCAAGTTCAAAGAGAATAAATAAAACTAATCCAGTGTGGTGAAAGAGTCTGCCTGGTTATCGATTTGTTCATAAAATGAAAAATAAACCATGTAAATAAAATGTGTGAAAATACAGATCTAGAAGCAAATATTTTGAGCAATTAAAAAAAACCCAAAATATAGGATTAATGCATAAATCTGCTGTGTATGAGAGATATGTCTCAAGTATCAAATCTAATAGTTAGGAATTACAATGTCATTGTTCAACACCATTTTACAGCCTGCTTTGTTGTTAAGCAGTGGAAGTTGTGCTTTAAAGCAATAGTCAAGGAAAAGAAATGTACAAATATACTGCTGCTTCATTAAACAAGTACAAGCTCTAGGATTAATGAGTAAGATATTCAGAATCCAGAAATACCAAAAAAAAAAGAAAGAAACCAACCAACCCACCCTAAGCTACCACTGAGCTGACCACAGCATTACCCAGGAACAGGGAAGATACAGAAAAAAATACAATTGCACTGGCCAGCCATCACAATTAAAGAAGAGAAATTGAAGCTCTGAGATCTTCATGTACAGTTGTAAGATGAATCAACACTGGTGATCCTTGTTGAACTGATGGCTGATGCTGCCACCTGTGGCAGGGCTAATTTTTGCGGAAGGGAATGTGAAATTTCCTGGCTGGAATTGGCCTCTCATCCCAGAGAGAATTGAAGGGTTTACACAAGTGCACACAGGAAAGGAGAAAATGGTTAGATCACTCATTTGTTCTGTTTATATGCCTGAAAAAATATGTACTGAAGCTCTTGACTGTATTTGTTCAAAAAGTATAGACACAAAAGATAATGCACTGAGTTTTAATCTAGCTCCTTGGTAATATTGGTTGTGGTTATAAACCTCTATTTGAGAAAGGTCCATCTCAAAGCTGGAGTAAGCAAAGCAGAATATGCTGTGAGAGGAATACATACACCTCACTATTTCATGGGATTTTTCTAAATGTAAGGATGGTATTGATACCTTACATTTAGAAATAGTATTGATACATCAGTCTTGTTTGGCATTTAGTCACAACGTGTGAAAAACACATGTCCAAAAGAGACTAATTGTAGGAATTGTCTATGTATTGTTTCAGAAGAAGGGCCACTGTGTATGTTCTTTGCTTGGTATAACAAACCTGTGCATTATCATACATTCAAATCTAATTGTGGAGCTTTGACATGTGCAAGATGTTTAAAGAGGAGTTGGGGGCATGGTTTGTTTTTAGAATATGTCGTGACATTAGTCAGCCTTTTAAAAGGACTTGAACCCAGGCTTAGCAGAGGATCAATAGTTCGACCCCCATGCCCAACCCAGTGGCAAAGAAGCATAGAACTTTTGAGATATGTGGGACTTGTCTTCCATAGTAAAGCTACTTCACACTTGCTCCAGAAACTGAAGGAAAATTGTCATTTTCAATAATGCATCTTGTAGTCTTTTCCAAAACTTTACACATCCATAAGGATTTATATTCCTTATGAGTGATTATTAATCACTGGCGTTTTAAAATATATTTTACCAATTTTGATACATCCCTATAACTAGTCTCTCAGAGTGGCTTGCAACAAGAATAAAAGTAAAACTCTAAGCTTTTAAACAGATAACCAAACAAGAACAAATCAAGTAAAAAATGTGCATATTCGCTCCATGATTTCATTAATTCATTCATTAGATTTATATTCTGCTTTCTCCTTACAATCAGCTCAAAGTGACTTACATCATTCTCCTCCTGCCACTCTCAATCCTCTCCACAAAAACAGCCCTGTGAGGTAGGCTGGGTTGAGAGTCTGTGACTGGCTCCCAGTTGGCTCCATAGCCAAGCAGGGACTAAAACCCATCTCACCTGAGCTCCAGCTCCATGCTTTTAGCCATTATGCCACACTGTTTCTCTTTTCCAGACAAAAAATATATCAGAAGGAATCAGACATAAGAATGGTTCAAGATATCTTTCTGTATCAGTCAATACTCCTCTTAGAAACTGAATTTTACTGTTCATATGAATTTACACAGCCTACTCCTACCTGGTTGGAGGATGGTGAAATTGGTCACCCGACGCATCTGGCAGACACCAGGCTGAGGAAGGTTGGAGCAACTTAAGTCTGTCATTGCTAAGTCTGTTAACTTTTTCTGTCATTTGGAAACATGTATAAAATGTCAAAAATGACAAGAACTTGAGGGCTGCCCAAAATGGCACCCTGAAAGTTCTACTCTCGGTCAATTCCAGCCAGGCCTTAGGTCCTTGCAGAATCCCCAGAAATGCCATATTTGATTACCTCAGTAACTGGAGAAGTTGCTAAGGTATAGGGCAGGTATCTCGGTCCAAGGTTGTTCTAATACTAGAACCGGGGTCTCAAATTCAACTTACCTGGAGGCCGCTGGAAGTAGAGTCTGGGTGAGGCTGGGCCGCATCAAGTATTCCACCACCGCGGTGGTGGTGGGCCGCTCACCCTGTGGCTGGCCTGGGCGCCGCCGGCGCTTTGAAGGCTGCAGGGCCCCTCCCCGTGCCCCGCCCATCCCGGCAACTGGCCCGCGGGCCGCGAGTGTGAGACCCCTGGGCTAGAAGCTTAAAGATGGTCTGGTGGGGAACAAGCAACCGGTGCAGTTCGCTCAGCTAAAGAGTTACATGCTAAAAAATGGCATCTCTGGACAACAGCTGAGCTGCTGTACTTTGCACTAGCTGCAAGTCCTCAACTAGCCTTGAAGTTGACCCCAGGTAAAGCACATTGTGGTAGTCCAGCCTTGAGGTTATTACAACCTGTACCCCAGAGTCGAAGCCATGCCTGTCCAGGATATAACTGGCATACCAGTCAAAATTGAAGAAGGGACTCTGAGCTGCCATGGCTACTTGGGCCTCCAGTGACAGTGATGATTCTAGGAGTACCCCCAAACTATGAATCTGATCTTTCAAAGGAAAGAAAAGTTCTTCATGGCCTCTGAACTGAGGGAATATGAAGAAACACACGAAAAAGAGTACAGAGAGGGTATCCACCAAAATTGTTCGTTTGTTTATTTGTTTCTACAAGCTTTATATACCATCTTTCATAGCCAGTTTGGTTCTCAGAATGCCTTACAGGATTAAAAATAAGGTTAGGTTAAAATAATAAAATAGCAAACTAATCATAATGCATTATAATAAGAATAAATTTCAGCAGTCCCATACCTCAGCCAAACTACAACAACAAAAGTAAATAATAAACAAAAGTAACACAAACAACTAAAAATAATAGCTTAAATAAGCAAACAGCAACCTGGTAAGTACATAAAAGCAAGTATAACATTTTTAAATATATATATATATATCACATAGCAATTAAAATATGGAGAGAACAAAAAGGGTTTTGCCTGATGCCAGTCAATGTAAAGTATTGTCACCAGGCATATTTCTCTGGCGAATGAGCTCCACTAATGAGACATCACAACCAAGAAGGCCCTTTCCTGAGTAACCACCTTCTTAATGCCCTTTAATGGTGGCTCCCAGAGAAGGACATCAGAGGATGATCTTAACATCCAGGTAGGAATGTGTGGGCAGAGGTGTTCCTTCATACAGTCAAGTCCTAAACTGTTTAGGGCTTTGTATGTCAATGTAAGCACCTTAAAGTGGGCTCAGACTTCAATAGGCAGCCTGTGTAGCTGGTAAAGGACTGGTGTTATGTGCTCTTGCTTGCCAGTCCTTGCTAGCAGATCAGCTGTTCTGTATTGTACCAATTGGAGCTTCCAGGCTGTTTTCAAGGTCAGCCCCATGTAGAGCACAGTACAGTAGTCTAACCTAGAGGTTATCATAGCATGGATCATGGTTGCTAGATTCTGCCTGTCCAGATAGGAGCACAGATGATGTATCAACCAAAGTTGATAGAAGGTGCTCCTACCCATGCAGCTCACCAGGTACTCCAGGGACAGCTCTAGGATCAGAAGCACCCCCAGACTCTGAACCCTGCCCTTTATGGGGAGTGCAATGCTGCCCAGGAGAGGATGGACATCTACCCTCCAGGAAGAGAACCCATCTATCAACAGTAGCTTGTCTGGATTAAGTTTCAATTAATTGACCTCAATCCAGCCCACCACCCCAGTTAGGCATTGATTCAGAACCACCTAGTCGGACAGTGTTGGCTCAGATCAACACCAACTAGCTCACCCACCCAAGTCTCAACAACCCAGATTGGCCCACACATCTGCAACTGAACTGTGAATTGATGTGATGTTGTTGCAAATTCACCTGGTATTGCCAATGCAAGATAGGAGGGCTCAGCAGATGTGGTCTAACAGCTGTGGCCGGGGAGCTGGGAGTCACCATCCCAACTGCTGTTTCTTCCTTCGGGACTGCCAGTGTCCTAAACGCTGCCCTAAACAAAATATACAAGAAACAATTGGTAATCCAGTGTCAGCTAATCCAAGAGGAAAAGGAAATCCTAACCCCAACCCTACCTGACTCAATATATGAGCAGTACCACAGTTATTCTTCAGTATTCACAAGTCTTGAATTTTATAACACTTGCCTCTAATTGTGCCTGTGTGGCAGGGGAGCCTAACCAGAAACACATCTATTAAGGAAATTAATATATGAAAGATGTATCATATTGGAGAAATTGCTTGCAAAAGATGTATATATAGCAATGCATTTAACAGAAGAAGTCCAAATGAAAATGCATACTTTAAAAAAACAAATCACAAACTGATGCGGAAACAGAACAACAGGAACCTAAAACTGGAAAAATGAGTAACAGAGAGAAAATTAAATAGTTTTGCATTTCCATGCCTCCCCTACACACACGCACCCTCACACACCTCTTATCCACATAACATCCCATCCTTGAACTTGCTCCTTTCCCAGTTCTCATTAGTCATCAGGAGTCGCTTAGATAACTGCAGGCAGGATTGAGCCTACAGTTCTGCTAATGAGGCAAAAGTAGCAGTTTACATTCCTGTACTAATTAAATATGTGATATTATAGTTAAGATTGCTATTTGGTCTAGTAGTGTTATGATAGTACATATGATTAGTATTGTACTGTGTAGTGAAGCATGTTATCTT